AATAAAGCACAGAAAGTCCTTAGCATACTTCCTAGCACACAGTAAGTGCTTAATAAATGTTCATAATGACAACACTTACACGAACACAGTGTCCTCAATCCTACACTCTAAAGACAATATACAACCATTTTTAACTTTTCTAACCAAAAGATAGTCTCTAGAATAGGAAAGTGAAAAGCCCAGCAATTCTCCTTCGATGCCACTCTTAGCTCGTTACAGCAGGAAGGCCGTGTGGGAAAGGCCAGTTACATCCTCACAGAGTTCCACAGTAGGCTGTGTGCCTGGTTGTCTGTCCCAAACACTGTGTCCTCGGAAGCCCACAAGGTCCCCTCACAACATACTTAGGAAAGGTAAGTGAAGCCCACACCAAGTGGGCTTCAATAAACATGTGTCAGACTCTCTGTGTTTGTATATATTTAACTTCTTTCCCCTATAGCTACTCTTTTCCAAGAAAGAAAAGCAAAGAAGAAACAAGAATGAGCTAAACAGGGGAAACAATATGAAACAGTTCACAAAAACACTTCAGAATATTCTCCCTGTCAGCCCCAAACCTTGCTTATCTATTAATATGTTAGCTAACAAAATATGTTTCCTTAATATTTTGGTAAGAGTCTCTCTTCATTTCTTCACAGCCTTGGGAGTAGTCAGAGAAAAAGGAAGATGAGGCCAGTGAAGCCCTCAGGGAGCCCAGAAAGAGACAATGCTATTTGGGTCCAAGTTGTTTCCAAGATGAGAATCCCAGATGTGCCAGCCATGGGGAGGGGGTGAGAGTGGGAGGAGGTTATGGGATTGGTTATAGAAGGAAGCACACAGGACAGTCTGGTCAGTACCCAAATAAGTCTTCAAGATTTATCTGGAACTCAACTGTACGTTGGAAGATTTTCAAGGGGTGTTGTCATGTTTTGATCTATCTTCTTATCTATGGAGGACATAACATGGATAGATGTTTAATCAATATCATGATCCGATTCTCCTATCGCTATAACGTGCTCAGGAAAATAATTTAGCAATGCACATTATTTTTCCAGACACAGAATTCTGAACATAAATCTTGCCTGGATGGAAAGAAGTCTCAGAAATTTTGACTAATATTGACTGATATCTGTGTTACATGCAATTTTGGAACTGGTCCTGATTTTGCAGGTTTCAAAGGCCTAATTGGCTTGTAGTACACACACTCCTATAAATATGCTTCCCTGATTGAATCCCGAACCCTGAGAGATCAATTTGCATACATGAAAGATGATTACCACCAGCATTCTCATGTGGTGTATCCCAATTCCATGTTAGCAGTTACACAGAAAATTATTATTGTAGCTTAAATTGAAAACCCAGTCTTTAATGAATCACTCAAAAAGCAATTGTCAAAACTGTTTACCGACCAGATGAGATGCTAGAAATACAGTGGCAAGTAACAGACATGAGACTCATTTCAAGGAGCTTACTGTCTAGAAGATTTTTTAAATGAAAATAGAATAAAAATTTCTAGGGTGGTTTTGCACTGCACCAAGTTCACCAAGCTGAATTACATTTCCCAGAATTCCCATCCCTGTAATGTTCCATTTGGGATTGGCCACAAGAGAAATCTGCATGAGTTTTGGAAGGCATAAGTGAAACTGCAACCTGACTGGGTGGTGGGCGCCAGGTACTACTGCAGCTTGCACATGATGTCAGTCATCGGCTCAATCACTGCATTGGCACAGGACCGTACCTGGCTCAATGCTTCTTCAGATCCTGCCATTTCCTTTGGGTTCTCCAATTCTTGGGCCAGGTGTGTGCACAGCTCCTTCTGCAAGTCACCCATGTCCATAATGTTGGGACAGACATGAGTTCCAGTTTGTCCCTGTTCTCCCCCATTTCATATCCAGCTTTTCCTTTCAACTGTAGACCCTGCTGACCTACACAGTGACTTCAGGGCCACATGGAATCTGAGGTGACAGTCTCACATAGAATTCTTCAGCAGCTCACGCAATTGTGTAAGGTCTAATTCCTATAATAAATATCTTATTCTATAACTCTCGTGGTGGTTCTGCTTCCCTGGTTGAACCTTCCCTGAAAGATCAATTATCCATGTTTTATAAGCAAAGAGGCTTTGAGGACAGTATAGAGTTTATGAGCTTTTCAATGAAGAAATGGCATTTAATATATGGTCATGTAAATAATATTAGTGCTTGCCAATCTTAGCAACAGACACGTGCCAGCTCTCATGAGAGCTCATAAACTCTGTTATATATTCCCTTTGGCAAGTGCTAACAGCCCAATTCCAAAATACCAGCCCAAACCTTCTCTGTTCTTTCCCCTCAAGCTTATTTTCCTCTCCCTAGCTATTAGTTAGGGGAGGTATAAAATAATGGCAATAGTACCAAATTCAAAAGAAGGAGATCCAAATTTAGGATGTTCTATAACACAGCAATGTGCTTGGAGTTAAGATGTCCACTGTACCATCAACTCTAACAATAGTTACAGAGATTCCAATTTTCATAAGAAACTTTTTGACTCACAGTGATACATTAATATGAGGACATTCTCTTTTGTGAGCTCATATATGACCCTTATTATTTATAATTCAGAGTTTGTTTGCATTTAATTC